AGGGCAGGCGAGGCAACGACTGGTACCAATTGGTTTTGTCATCCCTTATCACTCCAAGACTCCTACAGAGAGATTGGGTAGGCGTCCACGACCCATTCCTTGTTTGGGTGCATCAATTGGGGAGGTTATGGAAGCGACTGTGGTTTCCTTCCCTCTACATTTGAGGTGCTAGAATGTGGGAGAATCTTGCATCAAAGGAAGGTGTGGCTCCTTCAGGAAACACCCCGTTAGAGCAGTTTCGGAAGGACACTATTCGGGTTGACATGGTGGTTGGGGAATGAGAGGAGTCTGAGTGAAAGTAGAGGTGTAAATACGTGGGCCATGCTAGGCCCGACATGATGGTCCGTGCTGTGTTGGGCCTGGGTTTCGAAGTCCACTACTGTGCCGCCCATGGCCCAGCCCATGGCACGACACGCGACACGCGACACGACCCATTATAGCCCATGGGCCCGTAGTGGGCCATGCTCGACCCACCCAAGTTTCAATTTTTTGGGGGGTTTTTTATAAAATACCCCCAACAACTATAAACAACTATATATGGGGGTATTTATGTATTTTGGTTATGGAGGGAGAAAAAATGACACAAATTCCCCCCAACATCTACATAACAGGTAGTTTACGGGGGCATTTTGGGTAAAGTGATAAATAACTTTACAATGACCAAAATATCCCTCCCAACAACTAAAAATGACTAGTTTTTAGGGTATTTTGGGTAATTGAATTATTTTTAATTCCTATAAATAGCCCTATCCTCTACCATTCCTACCACAACAATTCAACAATTCTCTTAATTTCTTCTCTAGCTCCCATGCTCTCTTAAGTTTCAATCTCCCAATCTCTCAAATTCTCAATCTTTCATACATTCTCTGAACTCTGTTGACTGATTCTCTAATTCTTAACTTTATTGAAGTTTCAACAGGAAGAAGGCTTGCTCAACTAGGTCAAGTATCTAAAGTTAGCAATTTGGGAGGCTTGGACTCTTGGAGTTGAAAGGCTTCAACCATTGAAATCAAATTGGGATTCCGAACTGGCAATCTGGGTAAGTCAAATTAAATTAATTTTATTTTTTTAGAATTTAATAAATTGGTTAGCTCCTTTAAAAACCAATTCCCCAACATGTTCAATGTTGACGATATTCAGTCACATCATGATAGTGTTAGCACGGATATGGATGCTATTGATATTGATATGGAACTTCCACCCCTAGTACTGATACTAGGAGAAAGAAAAAGAGGGCCTCTAAGTTGATTAGCCCGGTTTAGAAAATAATTAAAGTAGAGGATGTTAAGGGGAAGGGAAAAAGAGTTGTTTGCCAAAAATGTTGGAAAGACTTTAACTATTGTAGCAAGGGTGATATCATTTGAACAAACATTTGCTCACCCATGAGAAAGAAGAAGAAGAAGAATGGAGAGAAACAATACAAACACAAATTGGGTAGAGGGTTTTGGAACATTTAAATATTCTCAAGAAAAAATGAGGCAAGAATTAGCAAAATACATTGTGCATGCTGAACAACCATTTTTGTTAGCTGAAGATACTAAACTTGAAAAATGGTTACGTAATTCTATAAATCCACAATATAAAAAAATTTATAGGAATACTATTAGATAATGTGCTTTAAAAATTTTTCATTCATATAAACAAAATTTAAATTATATGTTATCAAATCTTAATTCTAAAGTTGCAATTATTTTTGATGTTTGAACTTCTAAATTTAACATAAGTTATATTTGTGTTATTGGTCATTTTATTGTTGAAAATTGACTTTTAAATAAAAGAATTTTACATTTTACTAGGCTTGAATGGCCACATATTGGCCCACCTATTGCTGCAAGTATTTTAAGTACTTTACATGCTTATGAAATTGAGAATAAATTATTTTTTATTAGTTTTGATAATGGTAGTAATAATGATTTATCACTAAATATTTTAAAATCTCAATTAAAACCATGTTTAAATGGTAAATTATTTCATATCAGATGTGCATGTCACATCTTAAATTTATGTATTTAAGATGCTTTAAATATTATTTCTACTCATATTTCTAAAATTAGAAATTGTATTATATATATTAAAAATTCTGGAGCAAGAAAACAAGAATTTAAATATTTATGTCAAAATTATGATTTAAAATATAAACATTTTATATTAGATGTTAGACATAGATGGAATTCTACCTATGCTATGTTAGAAAGTTGTATTTCTCACAAATAAATTCTTAGTGATTTTAATAATGCAAAAATGCCTAATGATATTATATTTGAGGAAGCCTAGAAAATGACAATTTGTATAAGAGATTTTTTAAACATTTTTATGATGCAACTAATGAATGGTGATTAGTGTTTGTTTTGTAAAATATAGAAATAATCCGCAATTTAAAAGTATTGTTGAAATAATGGAAAATAAATTTAAAAAATTTTGGGAGAACATTTATCTTATTTATTGCTTAGCTACAACATTAGATCATAGGATTAGGAAAATATGGTTTAAATATTTTTACTTAAAACATGTTGTGAAAATATGAATATTGAAATTGGAAATAAAAAATAAGAAATTATTAGTTTATTATTTGAAATGTACAGTTTATATGAATCTAAAGTAATAGGAAATAATTCTACAAGTTGTACAACTGCATCTTCTACTTCTAAACTTGAGCCTAGTAGTAGAAGAGAAACTTTTTTATTTAATAAGTAGAAGGCGAAAATTGATTACCTCAACAATAAGTTTATTTACTGAACTTAATTTTTATTTACAAGCAAATTTTTCTACTTTAGGTGAGGGAACAAATAATTTTGATATTTTATCCTAGTGGAGTGAATATTCAAAAAGTTATCCAGTTCTCGCCGCCATGGCACGTGATCTACTAACCCCTCCGGTGTTTACAGTTCCACCGTAGTCTTGTTTTAGTGTAGGTAATAGGGTGTTAGACAACAAGAGAAGTTGTATGGATGATGAAAGTACAGAGATGTATATTTGATTTAAAGATTTGTTGGATTCTTAAGACAGATTACAAGACAAAGTAGGGCATGACATTACACCCGACATTTCACCTAGAGCCAATGATGAAAGTCATGAACAATAGGAGAAAATCAGAAAATGATGAAGTCAATATTTTTGTATACTCACTCAATAGTTCTATAGCAAATTTTCAAATTATTGTAAATTTTGTTTTAATTTTATTTAATTTATTTGCTATTTTTATACAATGTAATTTTGTATTTTCAATTTGTAACTATGTTGTATTTTTATATTTTATTAATTTATTCCATTTTCCAATTTTCATATTTCATTCATCTAAGTATCCAACCATTGTATGCTTTGTAATTTGTATCATTTAAATTTAAATGAAATAAACTTCCTATTTTTCTTCTAATTTGTTATTCCATTCTTATTTGGTTAAGTACTTTTTTTTCATTTCTTATTTTTTCAAATAGTTCCTAAAGCCCAAAGGAAAGTTAAGTATTTTAATTTTATACTTTTACTTAGAAAAGAAATAAAGAATGTCAACAAAACAAAAAAAAAATAAAAAGGTAAAAAACCAGTCTGGCCCGGTTCGGCCCACGCCCAAGGCCTGACCTATGGTCCAGCCTGGCATGACCCGGCCCAGGCCTGCAACACGACATGGGCCCACACAAACTTGGGCCATGGGCCATGCTGGGCCGACCCCCAAGTTATCCCTGGGGAGGGCGGAACGGCCTACACTTTACACGGGACGCCTGTTTACACCTCTAAGCGAAAGGAGGGGCAACCTGAGGAGGATCATACGGACGCTGTTCAGGGGGGTGTACGAGAGATTGGTGGTAGCCCTGCCCTATTGGCAGAAGATCCTTTGGCACCTGTCACCGTTATTACGGTCCTTGTTACGGGCAAATGTGTGAAGAAGATCGTTGCTCGAGCACGAAAGAAGGGTGGGGTGTCAGGGAGCCTGATTTGGTAATTCTTTGGCCTGAATTGTTGATTTGTTGCTGAGGGGGAATTTAGTCCAAAAATCCCTTTTTATTTATTGTACTCTTTTATTGAGGAGGGTGGAGCGGAAGGCAAAAGCAAGCAACTAGAATTTATAGGCCCTCGCTTTTTTTACAGACGCGTCAATAGTGATGAGGCATGGTGATACTTTGAATATGTGTGATAGGGTATTGTAGCTGGATGGTGGTGCTGATTTTGTTTAATGTTCAGGTCCCTTTTCCGTCGACCCCTGCTAGTGTCGCTGTGCCACTTGTTATGAGGTGTTTGGTGGAAGAGTTGATCTATCTTTGTCAGAGGGCGAGGGGGCAAGGGCATTGGTAGACTCTACTATTATTGTCAGCAGCGTGGCCCCTACGGTGGACGCCGACGATCATTCAGGGGGTGATATGACGATATCATTCAGGAAGAAATTGCAGGCAATATTATTCTGGTTTTGACACATGGCCATCAGCCCCCCACGACTCCTGATGTGAGCAATGTCGTCAAGGCCTATCGGAAAGGGCTTGGCTCATTTGTCTTGGAACATGGCCAACTGGTTAGTCCTGAGGAGCGGGTATCCATGGGTGATGTGGATAGTGAAGTGCCAGGAGCTGTGTTCGACGTTCAACCAGGGGAGGTTGGTGCTGGTGATGCGCGTCTCGACGACTTGACGCTTCTGGTCGAGCTCTCTACTGTGGAAAAGGAGTTAGCCTAGTGTTATGAGAGAGAAAGAAATAGCAGAGAGGGAACAGAAGACAGAAATTAATAGAATGGGTTCAGCCCTGGTGTTTATTTATATATATTGAATAGGAGTTGGGATTACAATCAACTTCTATGTGATAAATATAAAGTACAACAAGGAAACTAATTGATGAGATAACAAGATAGGTTCCTGAACGCCACACGACAAGGACTCATCATTATCTTAACACGCCCCCTTCAAGCCAACTATCTGCTAGAACATGAAGCTTGAATTTAGACCACTAGAAACTTGTCCCACTGAGCGGTGTGGTGAACACATCTGCCACCTGATCTCCTGAGAATACGAATTGCACTTAAATCATTTTGTTCAGTGCCAAGTCTCGCAAGAAATGAAAGTCTACTTCAATGTGCCGTGTCTTGGCATGAAAAATTGGATTGGATGCTAGAGAGGTTGCCCCAATATTATCACACCAGATCGTTGGTGCTTGGGATAGTCGAATCCCTAGATCATCAAGAAGTGCTTTCAGCCATAAGATCTTAGTGGCTGTATTGGCACATGCTCGGAACTCTGATTCAGTACTAGACCGTGCCATGGTGGCCTGTTTCTTGGAGCTCCAAGCTATGAGATTTTGGCCTAGGAATATCGCATATCCCCTTGTGGATCTCCTATCATCTGGACACCCCACCCAATCGGCGTCTGAAAAAGCTTGAATGGATAATGGGCCTGGGTTGGAATCAAAGAAAAATCCATGTTTCATGGTGCCTTTCAAGTAACGTAGTATACACTTTATGGCAGCCCAATGATCAATTGTTGGCGTGTGAAGAAACTGGCACACCCTATTTACTGCGTAGGCTATATCAGGCCTAGTAATAGTAACATACTGTAGAGCCCCGACAACACTCCTGTATTCAGTAGGATCCTTCAAGGATGTTCCACTAACTTTGGAATGTTTGCTGTTGGCCGCCATTGGAGAGGAGATAGGTTTGGCATGCACCATATGAGCCCTTTGAAGCAAATTAAAAATATAACTTCTTTGTGAGAGAAGTAGACTAGATTTCTGTGGAATAAGTTCCATGCCTAAGAAATAACGGGCAGGTCCCAAGTCCTTTAATGAGAAGATAGTAGCAATTTGGAAACTACACTGTCAGTGGTTTGAGACATATTTCTCGTAATGAGTATATCGCTTACATATATGAGCATACACCCCATCTTTAGAGTACACAAACAATGAGGGGTCTGATTTTGAGCACTGAAAGTCAATAGCAAGTAAGTGGGACGTAAGGCAAGCATACCAGGCCCGTGGTGCTTGGCGAAGCCCATAAAGAGCCTTGTAAAGCTTGCATATGTGTGAAGGATACTGGGAGTGTTCAAACCCCTTGGGTTGTTGGACATAAATCTCTTCTTTCAATGAAACCATTTAAAAAGGCATTATCAAAATCCAGTTGGCGAATGCACCACTGTTGAGAAACGACAAGAGCAAGTAATGTGCAAATGGTCACCTGTTTTTCTACCGGGTTGAAAGTGTCACAAAAATCCACTCCTGGAACTTGAGAGAAACCTTGGGCCACTAAACAGGCTTTGTATCTCTCTACTGACCTGTCTGGCTTGTGTTTTATTTTGAAGACCCATTTTGTACCAATAATGTTCATGTTGGGTTTTCTGGGCACCAAGCTCCACGTATTATTTCTCACTGGAGTCATATACTCCTTTCTCATTGCATCACGCCAATGAGAGTGTTTAGAGGCTTCAGAAAAGGTAGTGGGCTCTATGGAACCAGAATTTAATTGTGTGACTAAGGCACTTGGTAATGGGTACCTGATTACAACATTGGTTTGCCTTGGAAGTGAGCCATCCATTGACCTTGTAACCATGCAGTGGCTGCGGCTAGATTGTGGAACTGGTTTAGTCGCATCTAGTAATTCCTGAACAAGCCGTGTACGTCGAGGTGATGTAGACGACTCAACATGGGATCTAGGAGAAGGAGAGATGCCAGTTTCGCCCATGGGCATAATAATGGGCCTGTCGTCATGCACACCCAGATTGTTGGTGCTAGATGGTTCATCAGGAGAGTGCAACGTGTGCAGATCTGAAGCAACTTCAGTGGTATGAAGTTGCAGATCTGGGACAGCTGTAGTGGTGGGCCGAGAAGTGTGTGCAGGGACCTAAATAAAAATGCCATTATGTTCCACCGGGGAGACATTATCTGGCATGGCATGATTAGGAATGCCTGGAAAGGTAGCCTCATTGAATACGACATGTCTGGAAATGTACTCTCGACCTGTGGGAGAGTGGTAGCATCTGTAGCTTTTGTGTCTGTTGCTGTAACCTAAGAAGATGCACTTCATGGATTGGTAGTTGAACTTATTAGTGTTGTATGGTTGAAGAAATGGATAGCATGCAGAACCGAATATCTTCAACATTTTGTAATCTGGAGTCATTCTGAAGAGTTTCTCATATGGTGACTTACCGCCAATCACTGGACTTGGGATTCTGTTAATCAGAAAAGTAGTTGTGATAGCCGCATTGGCCCAAAAACGAAAGGGAAGAGACGAGGTGGCCAGTAGAGATAGTGTTGGTTCTATAATATGTTGATTCTTCCTTTCGACGGTGCCATTTTGTTTATGGGTGAGAGGACAAGCAAGTCTGTGATTAATTCCACATTCGTCAAGTAGTTTAGAGAGTCTTCTGTATTCTCCTCCCCAATCGGACTGGAAATTCTTGATTTTTACATCAAACATGACTTCAACATGTCTTTTGAAATTGGCAAAAATATCATAAACTTCTGATTTATTACGCATGGGAAAAATCTAGGAGAATCTACTAAAATCATCAACAAACATTACATAATATTTGAAACCCTATTGAGACTCAACTGGAGCTGGTCCCCAAACATCTGAGAAAACCAACTCCAGAGGTCTTTTGGACTCAAAACTAGAAGGTGGTAATGACAACCTGCGGCTTTTTCCTAACTAACTGGACTCACATACTGCTTGACGTCTAAACTAACCAATGTAAGGTAAACCATACTTAGACAAAACTTGCCTCACAACCCGAAGAGCCGGATGTCCAAGCCGTCGATGCCAGTCATCAACTGAGACTTTTTCACCAACCAACGCTGAATGAGACTTATTTGATGAAGAATCTAGGAAGCAATTTAAACCGTCTCTACTGGGCCCTCGTAGAATTGTTCTCCCCTTGTAGTCCTTCAATAGAAAATAACCCCGGTGAAATTCAAAGAACATGTCATTATCTCTAGTGAACTTGCTGACAGACAACAAATTTTTGGTAATGGTAGGAACATGAAGCATATCGGTTAAATAAAAGTGAGCATTAGAGGTAGAAAGTGTAGATGTGCCAATATTAGCTATTTGCAAACCTGACCAATTACCGACACAGACTTGATCATTGCCACTATATTCTGACCGGTTCTGAATATTATCGGCGTCCGGGGTCATGTGGTGAGTTGCGCTGGTGTCTGGGTACCATGTCAGGTCATAGGTAAACGACATCCCACTCTGAAATGCAACAGAATTGTATTCATCATTGTTGTAGAAGATATCGAACCTGCGCCTGCACTTAGCAACCACGTGTCCAAGTTTGTTGCACAACTGGCAGACTACGTTGGATGTCCCTTTTCCACGGCCGCCATTGTTTTAAAAAACTGACCTGAACCTCATCCTCTCCCACGACCTCGAGTGTTTCCAGAATTGGGACTGTTCGCAGTGTTGTGGTTCTGCTGAGAACCTTGGTTTTTGCCTTTGAAATTCGCAACATTGGCTGCGGGTGAAGTGTGATCGTTGACAGTGCTGCTACGTTGTTCAAGTAGCGCCTCATGGTTCAAGAGGATGCCGAGCACATCATCGACGTCCAGTTGCTCCATATCAGATCTATTGGTGACGGTAGTGACTACGAACTTGTAATCTGAGCCCAAGCTGCACAAAATATACATGGCGAGATCTTTTGGCAAGATCGGTTCCGCCACAACAGCCAAGTTATCTGCAATAGATTTAGCATGACGTACATAATCACTAACAGTGAGCGTACCTTTCCTCAATGATTGTAACTGGCGCTGGAGTTGAAAAATTCTGGAGTGAGAGAGAGTCGAGTAAGATTTGGAAAGAGCATTCCAAACCTCTTGAGAAGAGCGCAGTCCAATAACCTGCGCCATGATGCTTCCTGTCAAGGATGAGATCAGCCAATTGAGTATTAACTGATTGAGCTGGAACCATCTCTCAAAGGTAGGATTTGGGATACTCCTCGATGGATCACTGGGATCAACGATCTCCTTGGGCGGAGTAGGGGTGGAGCCATTGACAATACCCATCAGCTTGTGGGTGTAAAGAATAGGAAGAAACTGGTTCTTCCACAACAGATAATTTTTGCTGGTTAGCTTCACTGGGATGTAGCGGGTGATGTTTGGAAGTTGGGGCAGCCTAATGGAGTTATCAATAGTTGAGCTCACCTGGTTTGATGCAAGAGAAAAATCTCCAGAAGAGGCCATGAGGACGTTGGCTCTGATACCAAGATAAAGAAATAGTAGAGAGGGAACAGAAGACAGAAACTAATAGAATGGGAAGAACCTGTCCATGATGGTTCTGCCCTGGTGTCTATTTATATACCTTGAATAGGAGTTGTGATTACAATCAACTTCTATGTGATAAATACAAAGTACAATAAGGAAACTAACTGATGAGATAACAGGATAGGTTCCTGAACTCCACACATTAAGGACTCTTCATCATTATCTTAACAATGAGAGGGGAGAAATGGTGCTCGTCAGGTTTGTTGTTGTTGATCCTGTGAGCGTACATGGCATCCAGAAATGGGAGCATTTTATCGTTTTGCGCAGTGCCTCGGATATTGTTTCGTTCATCATCCAGAAGGGTTGGTTCCCCTTGGCTGAACTCTCCCCCATGGTGATGTGCACCTCTTTGAACACAACGGTTGGTCTAATGAACTCAATCATGTCGCAGACCATAGATTCACTCTCTTGGCCTCTCTTCGCTCGGTGGCTGAAGATGTGTGTTTCCTTCACCACGATGGGCTTTAAAATGGAGCGCATTCGCTAATGAATTATTTGAATGGAAGGCTGGCTTCAAGATCATGGTCTTTTGTCTCCACAGGATGAAACTGACCTCCATAAATGACTGAAATTTCTGGACGTGTCTATCAAGAAGGGTGAAGATGCGATAGCTAGTCTTCTTGAGGAGGTGGTGCGGAAACAGAAAAGACTGTCGCAGTTACGGGAGGGATGTGCAGAGCTCATGGAGATACAGGAGCAAAGGGCGAGGCTTGACGTGATTTCTGAGATGCGGGAGGAGTGGTTCAGCCCCTGTTGATAGGATGCTATACTTTTTTGTTTCTTTTCTAATCTCTGTAAATCTTCTGATTCCAAAACGAGAGACTTATGGGTGTTGTGATTTTTGTTATTTTGAGGCTTACAACTCAATCCGGATTTCCTACTAATCCCATTCTGCTTGCTTTCCTACTAACCCAATCACTTGGTGACAGTTGTCCCATTTTCATGTGACCACCTCAATTCTACGTGCAACAATTTACACGTGAGATATCTTCCCCTCCCGCCCCCTTCTAGCGCTGGTTCAACTCCGGCTGGTAGGAAATCCCCCACTCCCCCTTTGGTTCAACTCCGGCTGCCTGACTTGACATTACCTCACCGTAATGCCACGTCGATGGCTTAAGTTTCAGCTCTAACAGTTCTTTTAGAGCAAGGGAGAAGTTTGTCTGATTCGAATTGGGATTCCTAGAAGCAACGTCGGGCAACGGGGGAGGGGAAGAGAAAAACCAGAGACACGGCAACCTTATCTCTTCTCATTTTTCTAGCTCATAATCTACTGTTCTCCATAGAGGAATCTCACGCCATAGGAGGTAGTCCTAAAACCAGATAGACGACAACCTTATCTCTTCTCATTTTTCTACCCAACAATAGTAGAAAGATTTCCTATATAAGTCGATCTGCTTCTCCATGTCCTCCAATGCTTTTCTCTCTCTTAAGAGAAAACCCCCCTGAAAATCTGTTTTTGTTGTTTTCTATTTTCTTTCACAGACCGGAGAGAAGAAGAGGAGGCTTAACATGGAGCAAGTGAAGACACTTGAGAAGAACTTTGAATTAGGTAACAAGCTCGAGCCAGAGAGGAAAATGCAGCTCGCTAGGGCTCTTGGTCTTCAACCAAGACAGATCGCCATATGGTTTCAAAACAGGAGGGCAAGGTGGAAGACCAAACAACTGGAGAAAGACTACGAGCTCCTAAAAAGACAGTTTGAGGCAGTTAAAGCGGACAATGATGCTCTCCAAGCTCAAAACAAGAAACTTCACACAGAGGTATGAATTTTACATGTTATCAGTTCTGCACGACTGCATATCAGTTGGTCCAATACTTGCATATATTTCTAATGAATCCAATGTTCTTTTTTCAGATTTATGTGGAGATGAGGGAAAGTTTGTTTTTTTGGGTATCAGATATTTGGGTAAGTGATATCCATCTCTTTGGTGGATAAATAACCTTTCCACTTGGGGGAAAAATTGCCAGGAATGGGACAAAAGTGCCCCTTTTAATAATAGATTTTTATGGCTTAAATGGTCATTGCCTTATTTACATGAGAAACAAAAAAGCATAGTTAAATGCATTTACCCGTGTAAGTGTTTTCCAAAAAAAAACTTACCTAGATCATTACATTTACCCGGTAAGTAACTTACTGAACCTAAAAGAAAAATAAAGAACAGAGGTTGTGATAACAAGTTTGCCAACATGGCCTTAATATCCAAGAAAATAGATCCAAAAGGGAGATGACTTCCCTGGAATCTGATTCAAAAAGTATTGACACCCGATCAAGAGAAGCATCCTTTATACATCCTAAATGCAAAACGAGAGCTTCCGCAATCAACAAAGAATGACAAAAGGTTCCCAAAACTTGGTCGGCTAGGACATGGCTTTCATGATCTCTTATTACGCAAGCAATAGTTGTCAAACTGGAGTTAGCCTGGAAACTACTTGTAACATTGACCTTAATCTGTCCTCGGGAAGGAGGGGACCGTCGCATAGAGGTGGTGGGGTGGGAGGTATGTAAGGGTTGCCTAGAAGAACTTTCTATGGTCAAATTAATCTCTACTAAAAAGGTTAAATCTTTCTCTGCAACTTGTAGTGGTTAAATCTGTTTACCTCTAAAAATAGTTGTATTGCGAGTTTTCCAAATTTCCCAACATACTTGCAGCCATTGAGGGGAGTGGAAAGGGGATATTTGATTGGAAGGTCCCCACTAACCAATCTGTGAAGGATGAAGGAGAAATGGCATCAATCCAAATGGCTAAGCCACTCACAAGCCAAACAACTCTAGCAAAGTTACAAGTAAACAACATGTGCATGATATTCTCCTCAACTCCATCCGGTGGTGCCTGAATTCTCCAAAATTTTTTCCAAATATAATGTGGAAGATGGGGGCAATTATCAGCCTTGGAGGTAACTTCTAGGTTATCATTTGATTGGGAATGTAGTTTAACTGTGTATTCACCATTTTTAGTGACACGCCAAATGAGTTTATCTTCAGAATCTATAATAGCAAGTGGAATTTTCAAAATTGCAGATACCTTCGCAACAAAGAAAATCCATATGAGAATGGTGAGGTTTCATCTACGTGGATTGATTAGAATGAGATCACTAACCTTCTGAAATTTACAATTTGTAGGTCTTTTAGAAACCACTTTGTTGAAAGGTAGGATTGGTATCTAGGCATCACTCCAGATGTTAATCTTCCTACCGCTACCTACCAACCAAACCAGGCCATTTATCCAAAGATTGCACCCAAATAATAATCTTCTCCAAGCCAAAGATAGGGGTTGGTGGTGCACAATTTGACACTCCCTGTTGGCATACAACTTGGATGCCAGATGAGGTAGATCGCTTGGTTAAGCTATAAAGAAAGAGAGAGAAGATCAGAGTACTTGGGCTGCTTTACCTGGTGTGGGCCTCCGATGCTTATGTTTGTGAACTGAAGTTTTCAAAAAGCTAGAAAGTGAGAGAGAGCTTGCATGCTAAATTGTGCGTACCTGTTGAGATTGGAGGTGAGGTCCTTATATAGGCGAGCTGTCGGTAGCCTCACGAAACGCATCCGGGATCTCCGGCTCGTTTGGTTAGGAGGTGGTTTCATGTAGGTGGGGTGATAACTAGCTCTTCCAACGTGTTGTTGTGATCCCGGGGAATTTGGAGGTGATAGTCTGCTTAAGGGGGAGGTCGCTCGGCACGTCAAGCAGGTTGCTAACCAGAGCCAGGTCAGATCGATGGAAGTAGGTCACCTCTTATGTTGACCTAAGATCTTACCTACCTATTCGCAGTTCGGCCTATCAGGGTGGTGCTGAGGTCACTGATGCATTTGTGAAGTGTCTGAAGTGCTCCTAGGGTCTTCTTACATGGTGCTGAAGTGTCACTTTGTTGTTCTGCAATGCCATTATAAGCGTTGAAAAACGGGCTCACTTGCTACTTGGGCTGAAATTGGAGTCGCCGCCTATCAGATTAGAAATGGAGGTGATGGGACCTCCGAGAATGATTTTGAAAATACAATGTTTTAATAGTGATTCCAAAACCCAAGGCATCGGTCTAAATCAGTCCAGGTAAGACTCGGATGGGAGAGGGAAGGGGTTAGGCACCCCTCTCCCGGGTTCAATAGGTGGGACCGACATGGGGTTTTAAACAAGCATGTTGCAAATACATAATTAATAAAATGAAGCAATGATAAAGAAAGTAACAAACTAAAAATAAACCAACAAACAAGATCTATTTAATATCCTTTTTTATTTTTCTTTTTTTTTTATATTTTTTAACTAAGCCAAGGATATGCATTTCCAATGGCTCAAAAGGATATTCCCTTCCGTACTCACAAACCAATCCCCTTTTGGATGTAGGGCCTGAGCAAAAGAGTGAAAGATTGCTCCCTCACCCCTTTCCTATCAGAACCCCCACCTTCGTACTCAGTGGAATGGTTTGAAGAAAGAGGAAGTTCAAATCTCTTAAATTGTTGGATCTCATGAAAGCTAATTCAGCAACGACTCCTTTACTAACTCTGGTCACCGTCCGGATCTCCATCATCCCAGGAAAAAAAAGGCAAAACATAATTGAAAGACTGATTAAAATTGAAACAAACATTTGCTTACCAGAACGATAGGAGAAAACCATATAAAATAAGTAGCAAATTATGGATAAAAATCAATTGGGAAAGAAATTGATTCACAGAGAAAATATATAGAGAGTGACAGCAAGCGTCAATTAATCCGTAACACATATAATGAGCAGAGAAAATAAGAAAAGAAAGAAAAAAATGAGAAATATCAAGTAATTAGGACTCAACAGAGCGGGGATTTTGGCTGAAGTTGGGACGATGTTGGAACAAGAGGTGGCTGTTAGCGATGTTGAACTCCAGTAAGACTAACCTGAGAAGAGAAACGCCAATGTTCTACTTCATTGTCGAATAACAAGGGGATTGACTTCTAGTAGGGAAATTTTGACTGATCCAAGGTGGCTAATTCTGATAGACTGATGCAACAGGGGGTTTTCAGATAGATTTTCCTCCAATTGTGGTTTGTGACAGGTATTTGGTGGGATGAAGCATTGGCAAAGAGGATGGGAAGAAGAAGGGGAGGAAAAGGAGAGAGAGAGAGAGAGAGCGGGGGGGGGGGGAGGGTTGAATCTACCACCGTTGCAACTTATAGCGGTGGTGACAAAATAGAGGGAGAGAGATAATGGGGGAAGAGGGAAAGGAGGAAAAGAAGAAGAAGAAGAAAGAGAAAAGAAGAGAGAGGGAGAGAGAAATTAGGAGTGAAGAACGTTGCCGCTACTAGGAGTTGTAGTGGCAGTTCGGATGAACGACAGTGGCAGGGGAGAATGGGGCGGAAATCTCTAGAACGGAGAGGAAAACGAAGAAGAAAAAAATAGGAATATGCGAGAAAAAGAGGAAAAGAACAATAGAGAGAGGGATCAAAGGAAGACGAGGTTGGAGTGGGGTTCAGATCTACTGCCGCTGCAACGGCGGTGCAAAAAACGAAAGGAGAGAGAAAAATGAGAGAAGAGGGCAAGAAGAAGAAGATCAAGGAGAGAGAGAGGGAGAGGGAGGCTGGAGACGGGGAAGAGCTTGTTGTTCGGGTATCACCTGTTGGGGGTTGTCACAGCTCTCTGTTGCGAGGAAGCGAGGAAGGGGATGGGCTACAATGAATCTGTTGTGGACGCGTTCGTTGGGAAGCAGTACCGCCACCGGCAGCAGCAGTGATGAGGTGTCCGGCATCAGCAGTGATGAAGTGTTCACGTGGGATTATCTAGCCAGTCGCAGCTTATCTTATCTTTTGCAGTTTATCTTATCTGTTTCTTACTTTATCTACTCCAATAAGGACTAGTAGAAGAGTAGTAGGGGTTTGATTTATCTTAGGGAGCCTGATCCTTCTCAAGTTAGGAGTCTTATCTGTAAGTAGTCGAATTCAACAAGGAGTCTTCCTACAAGGATGACTCTTACCTCTTGTAATCTCCTATTTAAGGAGCTGCGATTAAAGAATAAAACATCCAAAAATTTCAGTCAAGGAGAAGAGTAAGGGAGAGTTAGGGTGATCTCTTGGACAAATCACCCCTCAGGTCGCCCTGATAGGGTCTGCATGATAAGGGAGGGGCAAGGGGAAGCTAGAGGTTCTCCCCGTGGACCGACCTGTGACGAGATCCTACGCCCGGGCCCATAACATTTTGGTATCAGAGCCAAACATCATGGGCAATCTGGAGCAGCTGTCATCCAGGGTCCACAAATTGGAGCATCGGCTCGTGGAAAACCATGCAGAGGTATGAGAAGTCAAGGACGATGTTTGGGAGCTACGACGCTTGCTAGAGTCGTATTTCTCTAACAGGGAGAAGAGCCCCGAAGGGACGGCAACCACCAACACCCGCCGACCAGATTTGGCGGAATCATCTGGCGAACGACAAATCGTCGCCCCGGCAGCCGCAGTTGTTCCCAAGTACAGTAGGCTGGAGTTCCCTTCGTACAACGGCAGCGGAGATCCACTGGGATGGCTATACCGTTGTGAACAATTCTTTCGAAATTAGCGTACCGAAGAAAGAGATAAGGTCCGTCTGGCCGCATTCCATCTAACAGAGGAAGCACAACTCTGGTTCTACCGAGTGGAGTAGGAGGAACCCAGGCTCAGCTGGGACCAATTCAAGTCCTACTGCCTCCTCAGGTTCGGGCCCCCATTGACGAGCAACCCGCTAGGAGAATTAATCAACCTCAAGCAAACAGGCACCGTGGCTGAATACCAGCGCCAATTTCAGACCCTCCTTGCCAGAGCAGCCTCAATACGACCAGATCAGCAGGTGGACATGTTCACCGCCGGATTAGCTGAACCCCTGAGGGTAGATGTGGAGATGTAACATCCTCCCAACCTGGTCACCGCCATGAACCTAGCTCGCGCTTTCGAATGTAAACTACAGATCAACCGAGGGTCCTTCAAAGAAAATAAGAAAATAAGAAAAGAATGAAAAAAATGAGAAATATCAAGTAATTAGAACTCAACAAAGCGGGGATTTTGGC